AGCTTTAATGTAGTGTTACAGCGTCTGTTGCAAATAGATTGTAAATAAAGGAAATCAACGGTTATTGTATTAGATTAGAAATTAATAAATACCTATTAAAGGCTCCTTAGAGCTACCTCATGGTACGTACCTTTGATTCCTCATGGGGACACAGAATGTTTTTCTTTGTCCCATGCTCGAGACGAGGCGAGTGAACATCTTCCTCTCCAACCTTTCAAATTTATGGTACTTATTTCAGTTGTACCTATTAATCATTCTTAGCCCTTAGGATTACTGCACCTACATTGCCTCCTTTTTGAGTGAAAGGATGTCGGTGCTTCTAATTCATTTGCATGTTTTTGATATTGTTTTTCCATCATGGGAGAGTGACAAAGCGTTTTAATTTCTTCATGTTTTTTCCTTCACCGGTAAATTACAGGGCATCATCTTCATCTCCGTTGTCTTTTTGTTATTTCTTAAGTTCCCTTCGTAAGAGAAAAACAAACAATCATTCATTTATTCATGCAATTTCAAAATGAGGCCTTAAAAATTTCTTTATTTATTACTGAGATCTACTGCTTTTGATGCTATTAGTCTTTCAATTCAGCTATTTTCGAGAATCTGAGTAATTTCCTGATCACAAAGTATTTCCCAAAATTCAGTTGCTGTGAATTTCATTTCCTCCTCTTGTCAAATGCAGCCTGTCATTCACAATGCCTTTTATTTAACTTGATTAGTTAGCAGGGCGTGCAAACGCAACTAGGCGCCAAATCTGTGACGTATAGCCGATTATTGGGTGCAGTTGTTAATCCCTATTCATCAGAAGTTGTGGAATTTTCAGCAAACCACGCCGTCCGTTTTACAGTGAAGATGTGCCGTCCGTTGTGCTAAATTTTGCGTTGCACTAGAAGGAAGAAGACATTGGACCTCTAAAGAAGAGGAACGAAAGCACTTTTTTGTCACTACAACAACAGGTTAGTATTGCCTTTGGAAAATATCGCTTTAACACCTTCAGAGATCTGAACGAGTCGTATTAGCTCAGTTCAACGACAAAGCAGAGTTGGTTGCTTGGTCTTAGCCGCTCTTCAACTCGGAATAAGACTTAATTAGGGCCGTGGCTTCGAGAAAAGCATAACTGACGTAGGATTGTAAAATATCTCTCCAGTGAAACGTTCAAATAAAAATTTTTGGCTCGCTATTTCCATTCGGGACTTCATTTTGTATTTGAGTGCAGCCACGTGGAAGTCTGACACCGCTACTCGACATTTTGAATTTTTTTTATGCTTTCGCTTTCTAAAATTGTTTCAAGGAGCAAAAACTACACAGAGTTTCAATTTGTAGGTTTCGTTCATGGAATTTTTTTCTTGACATCTTTTAATCAGTACAATTAATTTGAAGCAAATAAAATGCTTTGCGGAACACGAAACTTTTGTGGTTTATTGAGTAAATATTGCTGAAAAACAATACAAACAATGAAACTTTGCTTCTTAACTTCCTCACTGATTGAAATAATTAAAGACAACAAGTAAATTAACGCTCAGTTTATTGGTAAAAAAAAAAAAAAAAATGGCGCATGCGTATTTTGAGCGCCGTATTTGTCTAAGTCTTTTGGCGGGAAAATTCGCCACAATTGAACAGAAGATACTTACAGAGTAAATAATGTACAAAATGGTACATGCACACTTTGAGCGCCTGTGTTTTCAAGTTTTTTGGCGGGAACATTTTTCCTTACTAAAAGCCCTTAACAATAACTGAATCGCCAAAAATCACGAAATAACAGCTTTCCAGTTAGACATGGTTTAATGCTACTCTAGTTTACAGATTTAATGAATGTAATCGAAGAAGTTACAATTCATAGACCCAATGTTTCGACACTCTAGTGTCTAGTGCCTTCATCAGGGGTGATCTAAACGCTGCAACAAGAGGTCCTTTTATATGATCACTAATTAGCGGCCTTTTTTCTGACGAGGTGTAAATAGGCGTCAGGAAGCAAACTGCTTAACAAAGGCGCTGGTGGTAACGCCGATTAGTGGTGATAATTTTAGAATTATCCCACCCAATGGTATGGTTAGTTAGGCATGTGTGCTCCGATAAAGCTGAATTTTCCTTTTTGCAAAAGAAAACCGCTTTTTGATGCTCTTTTAAACGTGTACCAAACTGACGTTTGGTCTGTCCGACGTGTTCGTTATCACAGTCATCGCAAGGAATAGAATAAATGGCGTCGGTTCGTTGTTCTTTCGTGACAGGATCCTTGGGTTTGGCGAAAATATGCCCCAAAGTCCGAAAAGGTTTTTGAGCAACTTTAAAGTTCTGGCTATTCAAAATTCTTTTGATGGGTTCCGTAACACCCTGAATGTAAGGAATAACAGCAAAACCAGTCACTGATTCCCTTTCATCAAGAGCGTTACTAGTTGTAACTGGTTTTTGGCTGTTACGGAGAAAGGTTTTTGTAAAGCCATTTGCCTTTAGACACTAGAAACATATTTTTCTCTCCTCAGCCTTCGAATCGAGTGAAGATGGTGGACAGTCAGCCCTCCTAAGTAAAGTTTTGGCTACAGACTTTTTGTGGCAAATAGGGTGGTGAGAATCGAAAGCGAAGTATTTGTCCAGTTCTTGATATTGGCGTTTGAATCTTGGCTCTGACTCTAAATAGTGTTGAAAGAAATGTTCTGCGTCTGTTTTGTACCCCCAAATAAAGTTTGTCTCCACTGGATCATAGTTTTTTCGTGATTTATTTGTGCTTGAACTGATATTTACCAGTCAGTCTGCGAAAAAAGGAAAATAAACCGTAAATTAACAATACTCTGGGATTTAAACTTGCTATCTCAAGCGATAATAGTACAGGGTTGGTTTGTCGCAGAAACACGTATTAGGTAATCAGGTTAGACGAGTAAAATTCAGTTTCTAAATCTTTAAGAATTTTTATTTATACAAACTTGATGAACGTGAGCGTAACCTGGATTTCATGATGGAAACTCCAAATGATCATCATTGAACATTTTGGCAAAGTCGATAATTTTTTTTCTATCTATTGTCGTGGAAATAGCTTTAGGATAAATTTTAGACTTCAACTTAGAATTAAGCATTTTGCCTGCTTGTTTTCAGCCTTAAGCCGAGAGTTTTTAATTTCCAATCGCTCTGACGAAGGGCTAACGCCCGAAACGTCAGCCTTTAAACTCTTTACGTTGGCCAATTTACGTTTTCATCTCAGTTGCCTGTTTTTAATTTCAGTCATGCAACAAGAAGCAGTTAATCTGTGCTTACCAGCCATTTCCCTTAGATCACGCAGGAATTCACAAACAAAAATTGCATACATTTAGTTTCTGCTTGCTTGAATTATAACTAACATCATTCGCAAATTCCTTGTCAACGCAAAATACTGTTCTCCTACTCAAATTTCGAGAAGAAAGCATTAAAGATAACAAAATCTGAGGTTTTCGTACCGAACCCCCTTAGAACCATTCCTAGAAATAAAACCATAAATAAAATGTGATAACTGAAGGAACAAGCCGATATTTCTCCTCTGTCTCAAGGGATGAGACCATCAACAACTGAGCTCCAAGAGCTGTTTCAACGGCAATAATAGCGTAACTGACAAATTTAACATACTCCAGACTAATCAGGAGATCTAAAAAAAATTATATAACATAGTTTGAGAAATTAAAAAATCCTAAGCACATTATAATTGTGTTTAGCCACAAGTGTCGAGACATTCAGGCATCAGGTTGACCGAAATTTATCATTAAATGAAAGCCCTCTTTAACATCTTACGACCATCATCCTGGCTATTATGGAACAGCTACAAGATGTTTTGAAAGAAAATTCGCCGGCCGAGTATCAGTTGTCAGTGCTCAGTGAATCAATAAGCTCGGCGACTTCCAATTCTTTTATTATCAGTTTAGTCTTGAATCAAAATATTGCCTTGGTAAGGTAAAACGTCCGAGATAAATTAAAAATCTTCTAGTCGTGGCCTACGGCAGTATTAAGTTTATTTAGAGGTTAAAAAAAATGCTAATCCTTTGTGTGGTGGTGGTCTGAATCTAGCCAGGCTAGATTCAGACCACCATTTTGATGCGGGTAAGAATTCGAATGTATCATTCAACTAATTCAAGGTCTTGGGAGAGCCCTTGGGCAGATACGAAACATATTAGGCCAGAAAATTATACCTTTTAAAATGTCTGCACATTGTCATTTAGTAATCTCCAGAAAAATATCAAGGAAAAGCTGGATGATCTGGCTGTATCCTTATTACAATTACCTTCTAGTCATGAAGATAACTTCAAGATAATTTGAAAAAGTCGTTGCTATAATAATTAGGTTGGTCAAATGAAAAGTCATGCACAATGATGATAAGGTATTTCTTTGACTCTGCTAGCGAAACATAAAAACTGTTCATGCATATGGTAGAATTAATTCATCAAACAGACACCGCTGAAAACTGTTGAAAGCTACCTCAATAAAAAAGAGATCCAAGAAATCAGACAGTGAAGAAATTGGTCCATTTCTTAGTGTGCAGTTTTTCTTAACTATTGAGTGGGTTAGTTTCGAATTGCGAACATTCGCTAAAACTAAGTTAAATCGTTCAACGCAGACGAATAGGTCTAGAAAAAAGCCAATTATCTCACCTTGTTAGAAGTTGTTGTGTACTTCTTTCCTTCCTTTACTTGCTTGTGTTCTCATATACTTAGTGATACGATCCGATGTGATGGAGAAAACAAGAGACAAATGTATCATGAAGACGTAAATACATTCAGATACTTGAATACTTAATTTTCTTTCTAAATAGCAAAGGCCTACGTCTGGATCGAGAGACTCATTTGGAGCCACCACATTTTCTGGAGACAGATTTATGTCCTTATAAGTCTTATTGAACAAAGGCATAGGTAAATTTCATGGTTTTAACGTACTAAGCATTTGAAAACAAAATATTTAATTAATTGGGAGTATCCGATCTAACTTTGGCTGTTGGCTAGATACGTTAGAACTTCAAAGGTGTTTGATAAGCTCACTGTTGCCATGGTAATTTGATACCAATATCGTCACTATTGGATATGAAGCGATAGCATTGCTTCATTTCAAACTTAAGCTTGTTTTTGATTTACCAGATTTATAGGCTTAGATAAGTTAATCCTTCACAACGATAGATACCAACCTAATTGGATGTTACCCTTTCTTTCCTCTCTTCACTTCTTGATTTTCAAGTTGTTTCAATTTGTGTTTGATGCTGTCTTACCTGAAAAGGAGAAAAAGGATATGAATATTTATACCTATCTTTAGGTAAATGTAACAAAAATCCATGAATGCTATTTTCAAGTAGACTCTTTATAAGTAGAAATCAACACATGAAGAGAGAGAGAAAACTTCGGGTAAAGCCCCCGTATTTGATGCAGGAAGACAGTCCTAAAAAAAATATCATTTAAATTTACTAGTGTAATACCTTAACAACAACAACTTCCTTATACCCTTTATCAAGTTTTACTAATGTATTAAATAGAAAGTAATCCTTAATTATTGTTAATAATGGTAATAGGACTGATTGGAGTCCAATTCGGTCTGTAATCATAAGAGTGATAAACAAAATCGGACGACCGCGAAAAGAAAGTCCGATTTGTCAATTACGAGTATGATTACAGACAGAATTGGACGATACGAAGTTCTGTTACCAATTAATCATAACCGTTACAATTTAGAACAAAAATCTCAGGCAGAGACAATGTCCTAAGTAAAAAATTCCCCCATTTTGGAAATTCCCCATATTTTTTTTGGGATAAGTGGTTGTTGCTATGGTATTGTGATCAATTCTGCGATTATTGGATTTAGCTAAGTAGATTAAGTATGACTGGCTGCTTCAACTGCCCGACTACAGGTGTTCGATTACAGCCAACTGTCCGATTATAACTGTACAGAATGATAATAGAACAATGAAGCAGCTAATGCACAGATCACATTTTGATAAGAGAGTACCAGCATAATGACTAAGCAGCTAAAAATGACAGGGAGCTGGACGGAAAAAGTAAATTAAATGTCTGTAGCAGAGGTACAGAGGTATGGTAAACCTACACACCCAATAGAAAGACATCACACACTCAAAAACAAAGAATGGTATTAGTATTTAACAATCTTCGACGATCCAACCCTCACTTCAGTTACATAGACAATACTGTTCAAAGATAAATGCAGTTACGTGCCTTTACATTCAAAATAGTGAAACAGAGCGAAAGAAAACATTTTTCAAATAAAGGCTTATTTCTGTATACAGGATTGGCTTGTACAACTGCCAGGGTGAAGTCTGGTTCCTGCTGTATAGTATGAATTAAATAACAAAGAGTACAGCCACTATTTTTTTTTTTATTTCGAGGCAGGTGCATAGTAGGCTACCGTTGAGCGTTTTGTAAGGTTTCCTGACAAAATAAGTAAAAGCAAGCGTAAAATTTCTATACAGCCTCATACTACATTATGCATTCAGTTCTCGGATAGAGAAAACAATGACAAAAACAAGACATTGCTATTGGGAAACAGATTTGTTTTACAATAGTATGGGAACGTGCGGAAATTTTACCGAAGCAAGTACTGCCCTACGCGTCGTTGTATCAAAGATAGGAACCAGTCATCTGGTAACCAGAAACTAGAGTCTACACCACATCGTTTTCCCAATTACTCTCTCCTTTTTTGGCAGGCTTGAAGTGTAAGAGATATATAGAGCCGAGTGGATGAAAACACATTTACAAGGTCAACCCACAATAATCATAAAAGCTAACGGAACTTAAAAAATTTGTACAGGAATGAAAAGAGAATTATGTAAACTGGCGACAAGTACTTGGACAATAAAGTAAAAAATTTCTCGCGTTGCCACTAAAATCACGTTTAAGAAGAAAATTCATAGCGGCTGCCACTGAAAAATTGTCCTTCACTGTGTTATGTGCATTACACTCTTTCTTCTTACATTGACCACGTAAATTAAATTTGCAAGAGCTACAACGAGAATGATGGAAACTACGTTTATATCCAAACGTATCTTTCCACGAGGTTATTTACCTTAAGAAAGATCGTCTCAAAGTAGTGAGCATGAATCCTCGACACAGCATCTGAACCATTTCATCCAGCATAAGAAACACTCGCCGACCTGGACAGACCAGACATTATCCAAGGTAGTGGAGTCGAAATGACGTTGCTCTGGACTCCGTAGATGTTCAAAAAAGACGCTTAAATTTCTTGTAGTTCGTAAGCTCTTCCACGTGTAAGACTGAGTGCAAACATGAATATTAATTTTTAAAATTCTTTGTAATTCAAATTAGTTTTTGCAACTTCAAAAAGCAGGTTCAAAATAATCGACATTGAGTTTTATGGTGTGTTTCGTTCAATTATAAAACGAGAAAAAATGATGCCTCACTTTAGACCTATTTTCACCTCAAGGAAGTTTAATATATTGAGAAAGCTGCACATAGTGTTGAAATATCAGTACGAACTTAAAAAAGAACTTTAACTAAAAACATTTTTCCAGTACAGCATTTCAAAGTCATTGCAGAAGCATATGACCTAGATCACTACACCTCTCAGTATATCGATTTTTTTCCTTTTCCATGGACTTTTCGGGCTAACAAGGTGCTACAAATTTTCATTCTGTTTCAGTGTCGACGAAACACAGTTTATTTAACCTCTTTCCGACTGGATGAAGGAACATATTTAATTCGGATAGCGGAGCTCGAAGCGCGCGCGAAGCTCGCTCGCAGTGAAGCCTTATACTTATAAAAAAGTGGAAGTAATTCGCCGATCAATTCAAAGCTTCAACATTCCCCCCCAGGTAACCCACGGGAATTTGACTGTCCTTCATGCCCGGGGGTGGGGAATTTGAACCTTGCTTGGGTGAGGTGGGGAATTTGAACCAGAACTCTCAAGTCTTTCCGATCGAATATACTTGTTTTATATTTTACAATGGAGGTGTTGAAAGGTATAGATTTCACTTTCGCGAGCAGATGTCTGAAAAGAAGGTCTACAAGAAAGTCACGATTGCTGATCTTGCCTTTTATGAAAACATTTACCATGAGATGTGGCACTTGTGTGGGGCATTTACTTCTTTAAGCATGCGCGAACATCTGTGTTGCTGGCACGCATCTTGGCATTAGTTAGGGGAAAGGAGAAGGTAATGCACATGCGCGCGTTAGTGGGGTTTGGGGATTGAACCAAATCTAATTGGAGAGGCAGGACTAATGCGTTTGATCCACGTTTAATGCATAAATTAAATGTCTAACAGATCTGAATGGAGTGAATTAGTGAGTAGGAGAATTCTGATTTCATACTAAAACCTCATGCTACGACTGACATCATAAGCTTAATCAAAGATTTAGGTGGGATTTTCCTCACGCAGAGAAAAGAACCAGTTGCAAATTTCATTTTGTTCCTCCATACCTGAAAATCTAAAAAACGTTTCCCTATGTCTAAGAACAACATTTAAGGATGTTTATGAAGCATAGAGCACTTAGGAAGGTATTGGCATTGTAGCCAATACACAACAGCTAAAACAGCAATTATTCTTTTGCAAAAGCCAGACTCTCATTTTTGATGGACCTCGGCTTCACCCTTCGAGCGTCTATACTTTGTGGAATTTTCCGGACGAGGTATCAAGGTTAAATTGGGGACCGGTCATCATTAAGGCATGA